TGTGTGTGTGTGTGTGTGTGTGTGTGTGTGTGTGTGTGTGTGTGCGTGCAATAGAAACCGAATCGGTTATAAAAACCGATTTTTCCTAATTAAATAAAAAACGTTCTCCCTACATCTAAATATTGAGCCATTTCTTTTATACACAAATCTATTCAAATAATTTAACATTTTCTGCTTTTCTCACCTTAATAGTATAGTAATGTTTTCGTAATTCGTCTAATGCAATAACGGCAACTTTTTTTTTAGCATTTTTTCGACCACTACCGGACGCGCATGCTACTGGCGTTGAATTGATATAGACCGTGCAATCGCTGAAATAAGATATAATAAAATATGACATCGTATATGCTACAAATGTATGCATTTCACAGGTTAGATATTATTTAACAATTTTCTCTGTCTTATATCACAAGAGTAGTTATACGCACTATGATTGGTCTTTCTGAGTGCATTTCCATTCCAGATGATTTCCTGATATATTAACTGAATAGGACAATATGCTTTGTGGTATATCATCTGATTTTTCCACCAGAACGATATCTCCATATGGAAGATCTGTATTTTTTAATTTTTTCTCAGGTAAAGATTCCGTGTCACTGGTGTTACCACGGCACTGGGACACTTCCTTTTTGCGTTTATTTTTCGTCGCTTTAGTCATCTTAGTCTCAGATTCTAATTTTACGCTGGTTGTGTTTGATATAGTTTCAATGGGTTTTTCTGTGACAGTAGATGTTTGAGCGGTATATCCTAAGTAAAAAAAAATACGTTCAAATTATTATGCAGATATACTAAACTATTATTAACATATAATATTAGAAACGAACGTAGATATTAGATAGGAATAAAATTTTCTCAAGTTCGATAAGTACAAAATGTATCTTTATGGAGTAGAGAATGAAAAAAAATAAAAAAATGCAAAGTATAACTCACATTTGTTTTTTGCAATTTTGTCTTTTGCTTCTCCCTGTATTTAGCCGCAATTTCTTCAGATAAGCAGATGCAGTTCAACCCATTAAGCAAATTATTCAAGCGTAAAGTGGATAGTTCGAAAGCGGTTGGCACATATCGCAAGAATGCATTTTGACCAAATAATTCATTACTTTTGCCGAGGGATATTTTATATTGTTGACGAGATCACCGAATGTAATGATTGGTTGTAGAACAAAGGTTTTCAAAAGAATCTTAAGTCGCAAAAGCGGACAGAAGAGAGCGCGATTTTGAGCTCAACAAACGGCAGGTTTCCGTCAAGGGCAGACAACATAATTTTGCTGTACTCGACTAAGTACGAATGTCATCGATAGTCCAATGTTTCCAACACAAGTCGAAAACGTAAACAAGGCTTTTACAGTTAGAAACGTTGTGTTTTTATCGAAAGAGGTCGACGCTAATATGGCTGACTCGTTAGCGAACGAGTCGAGCCGTGAAAGACGTATTTTAGTAAACAACAATTCTTCTGACGACGACAAAAAGAGAGCGAAAAACATTTTTTCAAAGCAAAGAAATCCGAAGAGGCCGGGAACGCCACTTTGAGGCGTCTGCAACCTAAGAAGCAGTTGCAGTTCGGCCCCTTGAGAAAATTGTTTAAGCGTGAAATACCCAAATCAAAACCGGTTGGCGTATATCGCAGAAAAGCTTGCACAAACTACGGTGCGATGACACATACGTAAAAAGAATGTACTGAGAGACCACGTAAGGTGGGGGCAAAATATACGAATTCTAACATAGCCCCCGACGAATATATCAAGCCTGAGCCGTCCACGAGTTATGACGCCAAGAGAGACACGTGGGCTGATTACGATCCATCCGGGCATGTAGCCATAGTAGAAAAATATCAGAAGGTAAAGAAGGCTAAAGGAGAGATGCAGGTGAAGAAGCTGACTGCTAAGAAGAACGATGAGCTACTAAATCCGTCGTTTCTTTTGGATACCTATGATAAAGAAATGTATTCAAACTTGTGTAATTATCCGCCCTCTATTAAGGTTACATGAAACTAATTTAAATCATAAATATTAATACATTAATATACTACAATCTTAATGTGATCCACAGTTTCTTAAAGAAATAAATTGTTGTTGAAAAATATAATATATATGATATAATGTCATGTTACATTACCTGCATCCCATCAATTCAACGTTACAGAACACTTGAGCCAAGCAAACGAGTTGTTTCCTCAATCTCCGTTTAGCCGCCTTGCTCTGCCTCTCAATCTTGTTCTTCGTATCTTCGTCGTCATCGTCGTCGGACGAGGACTCGCTGCTCGAAGGACGGTCCTTGCCTGCGGTATCCGACAATTGTGTGCCAACAGCAACATCTTCGGTACCTCGAGATGCTCCTCGCCGTCGTATCGCTCGATTATACTGTCCCGCGCCTTGTCCTTCAATTCGTCCCTCTTCTTGTTATATTCCTGCTTCAACAGCTCCAGCTTCGTCGGCTCGGCGAGCAGATGGCAAAATTGGCATAATGTCCTAATTGAATGGTCAATATCTCTCGCGCCACTATTTATTCTTCGAATTTATATTCTGCTCTGTAGAAACAAATATGACCGAATACACCAATAGGTTAGTTTCTCCTCTTCTGCTCTTTTAAATTGACATCTTTTCCCGAACGCAGAATTATACTTGGATCAAAAGACTGTCATGTTGAGGACCGTCGAGGAAGGAGAATCGTAAGAACAGAAGGAAGATTGAGAAACAGGAGGGTAAGCTGAAGGAGGCGTTGAAAAAGGAGGAGGAATATGCGAAGAAACTGCACGTCGACCCCTTTCTCGTGCGTCTCCCAGGCGAACAGCTGTGCGTTCGCGTGTTGCTGCGTGTCGCCGGAGAAACGCACGAAATTCTCACCCTTGTAATCGACCTCGCGCTCGGTGCCGACGTAAGGATTATCCCGCATCGACCTGGTCTTGGGATCGTAATACGCCGAATTCGGGTCGAGATTGCGCAGATACTTCGCGCTGTCCTCTCGTATGCGGAAATTCCTCACCGTGATACGTTGCTTCGGGTCCACCTTAGTGCCCGGCATATCTACCTTGTCTTTGTCCTTATCCGCGTCCTGCTCATCGCTTCTTAGCATTCAGCTCCTTCATCTGCATCTCCCTCTTCGCCTTCTTCACCTTCTGGTATTTTTCTATGGCTACATGCCCGGATGGATCATAATAAGCCTGTGTTTCTCTTGGCGTCGTAACTCGTGGACGGCTCAGGCTTGATATATTCGTCGGGGGCTATGTTAGAATTCGTATATTTTGCCCCCACCTTACGTGGTCTCTCAGTACCTTCTTTTTGCGTATGTGTCATCGCACCGTAGTTTGTGCAAGCGTTTCTGTGATATACGCCAACCGGTTTTGATTTTGGTATTTCACGCTTAAACAATTTGCTCAAGGGGCCGAACTGCAACTGCTTCTTGGGTTGCAGACGCTCCAAAGTGGCCTTCCAGGACTCTTCGGATTTCTTTGCTTTGAAAAAATGTTTTTCGTTCTTTTTTTGTCGTCGTCAGAAGAATTTTTGTTTACTAAAATACGTCTTTCACGGCTCGACGCGTTCGCTAACGAGTCAGGCATATTAGCGTCGACCTGTTTCGATAGAAACACAACGTTTCTAACTGTAAAAGCCTTGTTTGCCGTTTACGACTTGTGTTGGAAACACTGGACTGTCGATGACCTTCGTACTTAGTCGAGTACAGCAAAATTATGTTGTCTGCCCTTGACGGAAACCTGCCGTTTGTTGAGCTCAAAATCGCCCTCTCTTCTGTCCGCTTTTGCGACTTAAGATTCTTTTGAAATCCTTTGTTCTACAATCAATCATTATATTCGGTGAACTCGTCAACAATATAAAATATCCCTCGGCAAAAGTAATGAATTATTTGGTCAAAATATATACTTAGCAAGATGAGGAAACCAGTACTGCCAGTGTAGAGTACGCTGTGAGGAGATAATGCTCCACAGTGTTGTATTCCGTTCACGTACATTATAACGATCACGGACGAGCGGAACGAACACACACACCGGGCAGTTTCGACGCGATCTGGGCCGAGAAGTCGCTACGATGGAGTAGGCCTCTGCAGGTGAGCGCACCGTCCTGGTAAACACTGTCGGTCCGGCCGTGCGTTCCCGGGGCACGAACTCTTTCGGTCTCGCCCGGGCGTTGTGTGTCGCGCATGTAAGCCGTAAGTGAGCACGATAGTCGTCGCGTTCGCCGTGTTTTCGTCGTTTTCGTCGAGAAAATTCTGTCCTTCACACGGTAATGTTATGCGGGTTTGGAACGTAAAGCTATTTAGTCTACTAGGTTACTTGTGTGTGTGTTTACAATCAAACGGCGATATGATCGTGAACGAATAGACGCGCAGATAACGTAGAGGGCAAGTTTGCGATGATCGGGCTGCGAATTCGTAAACAGTTATTTCTAATTCTCATCATCTCTCCGATTTTCTCTAGAAAAGTCGACGGGTTAGCGAGGAAATAGCTAAAGTTAAATTAGATTGTAATTTTGTGTTTTATCGATGTTTAATTTATCACTCACCTAATCTGATTCTCGATTTCCCGTAATATACAGATACGGAGTTGCGGAACATCATAGACAAGCTGGCGCAGTTTGTTGCTCGCAACGAGCACGGGCCCGAATTCGAGCAGATGACCAAGAACAAGCAGAAGGACAACCCGAAGTTCGGCTTCCTGTTCGGCAGGGGAGCAACTTCAACTACTATCAATGCAAAGTGACGACGGAGCGAGCCAGTAAATGGGATATTTCCCTTGAACAGCTACGGCGATCGAGAGACGTAAAAAACGGCGACATGCTTTATACGACAAGCGAAGGAGTGACTTTGAAAAAGCGACATATACTGCTGAAACAGTGTCTGATTTCATCATTGCGAGCTTATTGTAATCCGTCGGATAGGAAAAAGCTTCCTTACAAGATTTTGGGATCGCTATTTGTTAAGCGGAACGCTTTTACACTACATAAAAACATCCTTATGATTCTCCTTGGCAATGGTGATTTCAAGAAGACGTTGTTTTAAGATAATTGCTGGAGCTTATCTGAATACGGAGTCTAACACATTGTCGATGTATTGCTTCAATCTGTAAGGGGGGGGGGGAGGGGAGTATGCGAACTGACTCCGAAATTGCGTTCCCCATAAAGTATATACTCTAATACCGTGAAAATGTAGAGAAAAACGCGAAAGAAGAAAAAAAGCAGGGAACAAAAAAATAAACAGGGCATTGCGCTATATTTCTACAATATAGAGCATCGCTCACTCTATGGCAAGTTGATGTTTCTTCAAGCATACGATGTATTCCTGATATATTACTTGCTCGCTGATCGACTCGAACTTCGTGTTCACGCTGTAAGACAACGATGACGACGACAACGGCGACATCTCGACTTCATCGTTTGCACTTTCGATTCGCGCTTTCGAGCGCGACGTTAGATTTTCAATTTGCTGACTACAATTGACGATATATCACGGCGAACGGAGGATGTCAGTGAAGGAATAACGTTACTCACAACTTACCCGATTAGTTGGAACAGGCTGCACGCGTGTGCGGTGCACATCACGTGCATGGTATCTGCAGCCACCATGATGTTGATACCCACTACAATCATGATATTGGTATAAACGAAGATCGGCACGAAGTACATGTCTCGGTCGACGCCGAATTCTGCATACACCGCGAGTTGCAGCGGACGAGACTCGTTGAGAGGCATAAAGGTGTCGAGCACCAACGGCATCAGGGTCGGTATCGTTATGAACATCGACATCATCGAATATATAATCGCTAGAAATTCATGATATCACGTGTTATCGAGGACATAGGGGCATCCGGAAATACTTGATCCTTTGGAAGACTCGATCCCTAGCCGTTATTTTGGCAATAAAAGGATTTAAATTTGTTTCATGTTAGCAGCGGTATTCATTCTTAACGTAGGGAATACAGATCTTCATTCCACTTAACAACGCTCCTTACGAACGTTACTTTTCACCTGTATCTCGAATCTCTATTCGTTCGTACTATTTTACTAGCTATGTGATAGAATTCTTCTGTATAAGAATCTGTATAAGCGTTCCCTTTCCATTCGGCACAAATACTTTCGTTTCTATTTAGAGACAGGAAGCGAGCGAGTCTTGCTACTTCGTGCTAGAAGGAGTAATCAGTTAGAATGTTGCGATATATTTACTTCAAACAGCTTGTTTTTGGATCGTTTAAACAATAATATTATAAAACACATGAAAAGCCCATTTATTTGTCCAGACAGACGATAAACTTCTACAGTATGTGTGTGTGTATGATTTTAATGTTACGGGACGCTTATGTACAAAAGAAATTTACAGGTGCCTTGGTGAAACTAATCTCTCCTCATTTACGTGGTCGGTCCTATCAGCTCGTATTTCTCGGTAATTCCACCGAGGCCTTTCAGTTCCTCGACTAAGCTACGGATATCGATCTTGCGTGATATCACCAATCTCCGTTGATCCGAGGGGCCGTAGCTGCGCGATTTGAGACCCATGGACCGCGCGACTCTGAAACAAATTAAAAACATTCGCGTTGAGGACGCGAAACTTCTCGGAAATATCGTATCTTATTTAATCATTATTATAAGAAATAATCTATTAGGAAATTATTTTTTCCCGAAATATAATTCATAGTATATTGCGAATCATATAGCTGTATATGTCTAGAGAGAGGAGGGAGGGGTTTCCAGTTCACGTTAGTATATAGCTTAAGAAAAAATGATACGCACTGATGGATCATTGCTCTTTCATCATTGGTAAAATCCGTAGAGAATACTATATCATTTTCCGTATCGCCCATTAGCAGTTCCTTAAAAGCTTCCTTGCATTTGGCTTTCAACTCCCGTAATAGTGCTGGTTTAGAGGTAGATGTACTTGATTTCAGACCCAAACCTTTCCGGCTCAGCTGTTGTTTGAGCCTAAAAAAAAAGACAATAATGATACTCAGTCGTTATGTCTCTGATAACTTATTTAAGAGCTTATTTAAATGTTGCCCAAAAATTAATTAACAATATCATTGAACACAAACATCACAGGTTCCTTGATGCCCTGCTGAGATTTTCCAAGACCGCCACCGCTCCAGCCCATTAATTTCAACAACTTCTTTCCAACATTGTCGTCGGGAATATTATCTTGTAACTTGGTCTTCTCTATCGTCGTTACATTTACGTTCTTTACATTTCTTTGTGCACTTAAATTTTCCTTGATCTAAATTCATAAGAGATTTAAAAGGTTCAAATGAATAAGTATTGTATTTTGTGTATTATTTTCTTATTATACCACCATGTGTGTGTGTGTGTGTGTGTGTGTGTGTGTGTGTGTGTGTGTG